ATGATGTAGCTGTAAAATTGACCAGGGTGACTAATTATAATGACGTTTTGAAAAGTAATAATGGTGCTCATTCATAATTTATGGACTTATTAATTTTAATGTTCACTTTATTATACCAGAATGTGATGAATATAAACCATAATGTAATTAATATAGGATTACCTCTAATATAAAATATAAATATGAAACTAATTTACATTAAATCCACCATAGAACCAAAAAATTACAGCACTATTAGAAGCATTCTAAAGAAAGCCCAAGAGAAAAAATTGCTCCATATATTTTTAAAATGAATGACACCAAAATTCTTGAGGAATATCTAGATCAAGAAAAAATCACTTATAAAATTTACCAAGAAGAACGAAAGATAATAAACAATAAACGAACATTAACTCCAACTTATAATGAACAAAGAAAGAAACGAAAGCTAGAAGAAATGTAAGGAAAGTAAATTTAGCGTAAAAGCCTCCAACCAAAGCCTCGCTGATCGAGCGACCTATCAACGAAAAATGTTTCTTATAGTCTTGATAAAAGACTGCTTAAGCGCATTTGATTTATATTTTGCTTTTTGACACATTACAATTAAAGAGTCAAACAATGTAAAAATAATTCAATTTTTTCGTAAGCATAAATTTTATTATTTCGATTATTGAACGCGTGCTCTTGAAATATAAATAATCTAAAAGCACCAGAGTGATTGCAATGGGAGGAAAATACTCGGATCCAAAGCCATTAATGAGTATAACCTATTCTTTGGTCACTCTGGTGATATCTATACTACATTTCATTATTATTAACGTCTTCGTCTTCTATTTCTTTATTCTTATTAATCCATTCTTCGATGGCTTCTAGTGTTCTTTTTCTCGAATTTGTTTTTCGTTTGTAAAAGCTTTTTAACGTGGAGGCTGCAATGCCTCTTCCTTCGTGTAATTCGCAGATTTCAGTGGCCATTTGATGAAATAAAAATTTCGGATCCAGTCCGGACTTTTTGTCAGTAGTTTTTCGACGTCTGGTAAGTAACTTCGTTCGCCGAATTGTTTACTTCGTTTATTATTATGCCTTTTCGTAGGCTCGATTGACAATTTTATCAATTTTTTTATTTATGTCGTCAAGTTTATTTTTGTGGAGTTTATAATAAAACATGAAGCCAAAGAGAAGCCCGATCAGCAATCCACAATAAAATTCGCTGCTGGCAGAAATAGGCATTTTTTAAATTGTTTAAGTCAAAGTGTGATCAGATAGTTTTTACGATTGATTTTGTGATCAATTTAAATTGATAATTGTTAGGTATGAATGAAGAGAGATTCTGACAGTCTTGCTGCTTTTATAGTAACCTCGTGCACTCATAAAAAGCAGACTCGAATCAATAGTCTTATTAAAAGTCTAGACAAAACTGTTTGATTCTTTATGGCAGTATAACAATCATCAATTAGGGTATGGTTAGAATTTGTATTGTGTGACAATTTAGAGACAACGTTCTAGCAAACAAAGAATGTAGGTATTCAAATTAGTCGTACGACAAAATACTAATCTAATAGAAAATAAGTAACTAATTTAACACATGTGTTGCATCAAATTTTCCACATGTAGTAAATGCGTAGGTGAATCGTTCAATCTGATTTGGTGCTTGCAATTGTTCCACAACGTGATACGCAGCGAGATATAAACCTTTCGTTTCCTTGAATAACTTGACAAACATGGATAATATGGACCCACAAGAATATGAAGAGTTTGCTAATGAATACAGAGCAAGCAATCGCAATGCTAAGGACGGAGAAATTCTCCTAGCATACCTTACAGGAAAACAAAAACAACAAGGTAAGCAAGCAATGAATACACGTTTATTGGGAGGATAGTTGAAATGCATTACGACATGCGTTGGGGTTGGGACATAGAGCAGAGTCGTAGCAAAGGTTGGGTTATACGTAAACTCGTTTGGAAGGTGAACTGGAGGAGACAAGAGACATTATGGGTTAATGAGGAGAAACGGAGGGAGAATAGTTGAAATGTATTACAACGCGCGCATTTGGAGGAGCATTGAATAGAGTATAGTAAATGGCATTACAACACACGAGGGGATAGGGTAATGTGTACATAGGGTAGAATAGACGTAGTAAATACATAGAAGAGAGTATATATCCCAACTTACGTGATTCTGACCACTTCTTTAGATACTGAACATTGTTCAAAGAAAGCCCGTATTCATGTGATTAGCAAGGATGATGTACTCCTGGCACTCAAGGCGTTCAAAGATCCGAAGGATTGCCAACATAATTCTTTCCGAGAGGAGGAAGAACTGACAGATGAAACTATGGTTACTGCTCAGGTGTGCATCTGTCCATTCATGTGAATGTGTAGTCCACTTTGCTGGGTCTAATCCACTGCTGCTCTATTCATTTATTTCTGTACATATACATAGGAACCTCTTGCAGTTATTGGTAATCAGCTGCCTTCACAGGCCGGGAGGATGAACTTGAAGAGCTTCATAGATGTATTGATAAGAACATTGATTTATGGAGAATGTGCAGTGTGAATATAGCAAATTTTAGCATAAGGTCTGAAGAGCAATTTAAGCATTCATACAGACACCCAGTAGTAGCAGGAGGTCCTGGATGGGGCAAGACAACACTGATGATGCATGGCTTGATGTCAGTATGCAGTCGATTGCGAGAGCCGCACATTTGGACATACCGTGCATTTGCCTGGGACCTCCAGAGTAACCAGCTGCAGGCGTCAGAGCTTGAACTACTGGGGGACACTACATTAGCGAATGTCTCAGGTGGTCAGAGTGTTTTAGCATCAAGAATTTTGCACCAAGCAGTCAATGGCAATCGACCATATGCTGATTTCCTCGCCAAGTTTGTTACTCACCTCAAGACTCATGAGATTCTCCTATCTGATGTCACCCTTGATGCTGTGCTTGACCATGTGGTTCAGCCAACAGCACTGCCAGCAATGACATCATCTTTTTCTTCCTTGCAGCTGACTACATCAACAGAATTGAAACCATTAATTGTACCGTTTCATATCAGCGAAACAAATGTACTGTTACCAGAGCAAGGGCCTTACACAAGGATAGAATTATTTGAAAGCTGTATATGAGTTTAACAGTTCTACCTGTCGTTGCATGATAGTTTTAACATTTGATGGCACACATCGTGCAGAGCTATTGAAGGCATTTGAAGTGAGTGGTATATGGTATAAGATGATCACACTGCGCTGAACAAAGGCTGAGACATATGCGCAGATTTTGCAAGCACTTGTTAAGAAGGCAGTTGCATCAAACTTGATAGGGGATAAAGATCTTCATACATTTTCGCCACCAGAGCAGCTCAAGATCGCATTTGCAGCCTGCAGAGACAACATATGATTGTTCTCACTCTTGATATATGGGGCAGACTGCAACAAAACCAGACAAAGTGAACATTCTGTTATGTGACATAAATGTGATTATAATGTGGCTGTAAAATTGACCAGGGTGACTGATGATATTTAATACGTTGTGGTTGCTTAAGCAACTAGTGCTTGCTTCTATAATAAATCTTGTAATGATGCTTAAATAGACAAATGCGCGTTGCTGCGCATCAATTATCATTGGTCATTCTGCATACAATGGATAATCACAGCAATGACGAAATGTTCATAATAATTATGTCATTGATTAAGCCACTAGTATATTACAGTATTAGATCACATCACACACAGCACATCTTCTTCTCTCTAACTAAACGAAAAAAAGAAATGGCAAACGTTGAAGACATTAAACAACAGTTGGCGAAGGCAGAGAAGCAACTGGAGAAGGCGGAGGCTGCGGTGACGGCATTCGAAAGAGGCGCGGCGCAAGGGGAAATGCTGAAGACGCTGAGACTGGGGCTGGGAGGAGGACTAAACGCGGCGCAGCAACAGCTGTGGGAGACGCTGGAGGCGGAGAAGAAGCGTCTTGATGAGAGGGTGGATTACTGGGCGAAACAAGTGGGAGAGCTACAACTCAGAGTTACTGCAGCTCAAACCACTCAACCAGGTAACGACTTTGTGACTCGGGCGTTGGGGACTAGAGTAGTAGACAAGTAACCTTGTAATACTAATTTCAATTTCTTCTCTGTTAACATGCGACAGGCACTGATACTGGTAAGTGTTCCCTCGTTATTGTTCTTCTGCCGCCTGTTATATTTTTAACTGTTTATTCCTGTTCTTTTTATATAGTTAGCACTTCTGCGAAACGTTCGCATATTAGTATGATGGATATTGATCAAGATCGCGATAGAATTGCAAAAAGAATGCGAGAGATTAAGGCCCCATCTAAGATGGCAAAGCTCACAGAATTTCCATCTTTGCAAAAAGAAATTCAACTGCATTGTGATAGGCCCGACCAGGATTATCTCGCCAAGCCTGTTGTTCTCTACAATCCTGTATTTGATCAGTTTCTTGCTGAATGTGTGGATGCCAGCGTGACAGATCGGTTTTATGGTGATGTTGCAACAATGTGTCTTTCTATGTCTGATTTCTTCCCTGATGAGCATCAGCGGCGAAGGGTCTTTGTTCGTCATTTCGAAGGATTACTGGGGATGAAATGTCAACCAATGATGCATTCAGAAAATAACTCTTCCAATGATGGTGCAATAGTTTATGATTTCTTGTCATTCAGCAGTCCTACCCGGGCAGTGTTGTTGTTTTGTGAAGCTAAAAATGAAGCTGGTGTGGGAGGTTGTGATCCATTGCTTCAGGGAATGTTAACATATGGACGATGGTGTGCCACTCAAAGAGAACACAACTTATGGCCATGCACCTGTTTTCCAGCATTTATTGTTACGCTAATTGGACCATCTTTATCTATTTACGGAGCTATATACCTTGATCGTGTCCATGTTAACCGTTTAGCAGAAGCTATACTTACATTATCTCTGGACAATCGCAAAGTTATCAGAGTAGCACGTATTATCAAAGCCTTAACAGTCGCATGTAATAACCTGCAAGACTATTGGAGTAAGTTGAGTAAGTTGGATGATACCAACACTGAGATGAAAGATAAACAATCCCTGTTTCCGTTTCCACGGTCTGGGGAAGAGTTTGAATTTATCTATACTGGGCAGATACAAAAACTGACGTCATTGATATATACTGCCCGTTTGACAACTACTGAAGAGGAAATCGTGATCAAGTTCGTTAAACAATATAATGCAGAAGCGCATAGATTATGTGCAACTAATAATTCAGCACCCGTATTGCTCTGTTATAAGCCTCGCGTTGTTCAAGAATGGGGAATGGTTGTAATGAAATACTTGGGTACTACAGAGACATTATACGACATTATACAAAACTTTTCTTTGAAACTGAGCGCTGAGGAAAAGATTAATATATACAGGGATGTTACCAAAGCGGTTCGACTACTTCATAGTTGTGATTATGTCTTTGGCGACCTTAGAACAACTAATATTGTTATAACATATTCACCAACTTATGGACGGTATCAAGCGCAGCTGATTGATTTTGATTGGGTTGGCCGAGCAAACGTCGATAAATATCCTACCCTGAATCCTGATATCGACTGGCCTTCTGGTGTTGGTGGTGGAATGACAATGAAAAGGGAACACGATCTCATATGGCTAGAACGATTGAGCAAAGAGTTAGGAGTGTCAGTTGAATCTCTCCCAGAAGTGGAAATGTTATAAAGCTGTTATTATCGTATACAATCAAAACTTTAGTGTTAATCAACATGCAGATAAATCTGAGATGTAAATAAAAAAACATGTTCTTTTCAAGGGCCTATTAAATGACTACAAATGATAAATGATAAAATTATATATAGGACTATCTGTATATGTCAAATAATGAATATAACGTTTCCATCGAATACGAAAAAGCCATGCGTTTCTTGGATATAGGCTGCAATTGTGGTTGTTCAACAATGATTCCGAGAGAAGGGTTTGCTGAATTACGTGAGGCGTTTCAAGCCCTCTCTAGATCTGAACAAGACATATTTTTAATGGCCCAGCTGAAAGCGATGAATGGTGGAGAAATAACGACTAGTCGACGTCTTAAAAAGAAAACGCGTACTAATAAGAGAACTTTTTATTACTGAGATCGCCATACGCCGCTTTGTCAAAAAACGTATCTTAATATGTTAGGAATTGGTCGTAATCATTTGGAAAACGTCAGAAACCATCTAACAACCAATGGCATAATACCGCGTGTTCATGGTAATATCAAACGAATGCCGCGATGAAAAACTAAAGTAACCATTGATATAAAAGTTGCTACCGCAGTAAAAAATTTTCTCGAAAACTATGCTGAAATACACGGACTACCAAGTCCTGGTAGAAACGTCAACCGAATTACTCAATCCCTTACCCTTTTGCCAGCCGAAACGAGTTACAAATCGGTCTATCGTAATTTTATTGCAGGTCTCGAGAACGATAGCACGCTGAAATTGTTAAAATATGATGCGTTTCGCAAGTTATGGCACCAATTAACGCCTTATATTCAAATCATGAGTCCAAGAACGGATTTATGTGACACGTGC